AGTTGCTGATTCCTGGGCTGGGGGAGGAAATGTTTAAGATGAGCCTAAAAAGGTGTCTGAGCTGGAAACCGGCAGGGAGCACTGGGGCCAGAAGAGGCACTGGAGCCAGCAAACAATGGTGGCTGCATTGATTGAGACTGAGTGACTATATTAAAAACATGCTGTTGATTTATAATGACAGTGTAAAAACTCAGCCAAAACTGAACAAACAGAAACACACAATTAAGCAAGTTAGGCACTAACTACTAACACTGAAAATGGGCAATTAAAGGAAAATCATGATTATCCTGCCTTTTATCCACACATTGCCATTCAGGGTAACCTAGTTAATTAGGAATGTATTTTACAGAGGAATTCCTTCAGATAAATGAGTAAGGACTGATAGAATTTAAAGACCCCCTTTTTGCAATCCCTAATGTGGTTCTGGAACTTGCCTGTGAATCAGAGTCACCTGGAAGGATTGTTGAATAATTCCTTACCCCACCACAGGACTTCTGGTTCCGTAGGTCCTGGGGTTGGGCCTGAGAATTTGCATTTTTAATATGTCCAGGGACCACACTTTGAAAACCACCTGCACAGGATCATGTGGTTCAACAAACATGAAGGGGGTGATTTTCAGGAGAAAACAACAGGTGCAAAGACTACTGACAACTTCAGACCTCCATCCCAACCAGCAGATGGAACAAGGTATAGCCAAAGCATTTTGCAGAAGTGGGAGTATAAATATAGGCACCTCAGCATCATTTAAGTGTTAAGACAATGAATGAAAAGGTAGCAAAGGCATGTATGTGAAGCATGATAAGACAACAAAAGTGCTGATTGGTTCCAAAGAAGTAACTGAGGGTGGCAGCCTCTTTATGTCTGTCTGCTACTTCTCAACATTGTGAGACCAAGAAAACCGCTGGGGAGTGGCTGGTCTGGAAATGCACATTTCTATGGGACAGAATATTTCATACTGGAAATGTTTTATACATTGTGTATTCAAGGTTTCTAGGAGAATCCACACGTTGAAGGAATTGACAGACCAAAGATATTAAAAAAAATGCATCAAAGTAAAAAACTAGAGTACTGCCCAGAGACATGTGAATCATTTCTAATCTAGATAAAAAGAAGCAACAAAATTAAGATACAGTACAATACTCAGACTTAAATACTGTCCATAGCATTAGCCATAGCCACATAGCTATTGTTTGCTAGATTTATATAAAATTTAAAATTAAATTCCCAAGTCACCTTGATTCATTTCAACTAGTAGCTATATGTAGCAAGTGACTTCCACACTAGACAACAAAACAATCCCATCATTGCAGAAAGTTCAATTGGCCAACACCAATATAGACATTTATTATTATCTTACATTAAACAGCGTATATTTGATAAATTGACCACTGCTCAGAAACCTGAGTTAAATAAAAAGTGGTAGGTCATTCTCTAGCAATACTAATTCTGTAAAGAATATTGATTGGATAGGATGTAGAGGGCTGGGCAGTCAGCTGCCCCCTAGAATTCTGCACCAGAGTCTGTACAACGGAAAGTGACACAGGTCTCCATGTAAATGTCACAGTGTAAGCCATTACTGATGTGAAATGAGGCATAAATAATGAATCAAAGTGGCTTCAGAGGGAAAGCTGTAAGGGTGGGTAAATACAAAATATGTGTGTGTGTGCACATTCACGCGCAAAAACAAATGGGCACGAAACTTATTTGGTCATCCATTTGTTCACTGTCTATTGAGGGCTTAGTATATGCCAAAGACATAAGATAACAAGAGGGTAGACTGTGAAGTGTGAGGAATCCTAGCACCCAGAAAGAGCCAACATTTAGAAAAACTCTAAAGATAGTAATAGAGGCATTTTTCAATTAGCTCAGAGGTATTACACCAAAGGAAAGACTGGCCCAACATTAGACACGTGATGTGCTAATGTTAATGGGAGGAAGAGAGCAGTGCTGTCTTTCAGTTTACTTCTCTACTTTCCCATCCAGGAGCACCACCTACATGGAAAGCTTAGAACAGACCTGGTTAGGAGGGAATTGAATCCCAAGATCGGCGAGGGGATAGGGCAAGTACATCAATACTTTAAGTGATTGAGTCAGCAGGACTAGGCAGGGGATGATCTGCCTCTTTTCTGTTGGCAGAAGGTCTCCCCCGTGGCTGCGCAGCATTTTCATAAGGAGGCAACAGGACTCCAGGCAACACTCCCATCAATGGCAGCTGGAGGACTCAGAGGCTTGGTCCTGCCCTCCCAGTACAGCGTGGGCTGTGACCCACCTGCCGTGCTCTATCCAGCCTCTCGGAGCCAGAGACGTTCATTAGAAATAAGGGCCATGGTGAAGGGAGGGATGCACCAGGCCAATCTCTGCTGAAGCCTTCTAGATTGATCTGTACATTTGGGTATATGTTGGTGGGAGGAGGGGGAGAATTTTCCCTAAACCTTCATTTTCTAGTCATTAATCTCTCTTTTAAGAGTCAGCCTTGGGGCGCCTGGGTGGCGCAGTCGGTTGAGCGTCCGACTTCAGCCAGGTCACGATCTCGCGCTCCGTGAGTTCGAGCCCTGCGTTGGGCTCTGGGCTGATGGCTCAGAGCCTGGAGCCTGTTTCTGATTCAGTGTCTCCCTCTCTCTCTGCCCCTCCCCCGTTCATGCTCTGTCTCTCTCTGTCCCAAAAAAATAAATAAACGTTAAAAAAAAAAAAAAAAAGAGTCAGCCTTGGGGCACCTGGGTGGCTCAGTCGGTTAAGCGGCCGACTTCAGCTCAGGTCATGATCTCTCTGTCTGTGAGTTCGAGCCCCGCATCGGGGTCTGTGCTGACAGCTCAGAGCCTGGAGCCTGTTTCAGATTCTGTGTCTCCCTCTCTCTCTGCCCCTCCCCCGTTCGTGCTCTCTTTCTGTCTCAAAAATAAATAAATGTTTAAAAAAAAAAAAAAAAGAGTCAGCCTTGCCCTGACAGATGATGCAGAGCTAGGAAAGCAGAGCTAGGCCTGGCCTAAAATCTCCTTGCCTGTTTGACCTTAGGCCAGCCATGGTTTTCTCATCAGTAAAACGCAGACCCTGGTGGCTTGCCCTGAGGCGCTGGTGTGAGGGTTACTCAAAGGAACACTGACACACTAGGGTAGAGTCTCACTCCTTGTGAGCATTCAGGAAGTGCTCCTTCCTTTGGATGGTTCATTTTGCACACCTGGAACGAACAGAAGGCAGAACAGAACACTTCTAGGCCCTGCAGATGGTGCTGGCTGTGGCCATCCAGGTTGGGGACTTGGCCACAGGTTGGTGGAGAGTGACACTGTCAGGAGAGGGAGGCCAGGGCCTGCCGCAGTTGCGGAGACGGTTCTTGCTGAAGTTTCCCTACAAATCGTGTTGCAAAATCAGTTATTAGTTTTGTGGAGTTAGAACAGAAAAGGAAGCAGAGATGGGACTAAAGATGAATTTCAGAAGCCACAGATCAAAGACCTGTGGAAAATTCTAGAAAACATTATTCAATAACTGATGTGAATGAATACTTTATGAGAAAATTAGAAACTTTTTGAATTCACTAAGTCATGGGAAAACCACACGTTAAGAGTTTTGTAGATTAGCACTGTAGGTGAATGCCAAAGTCAGAATATTTTAATTTCCTTGAAGAACCTGCAAGAACCCTTCACATCGTGTGGTGGTTAGGATGCAGGAAAGCGGGCAGAGAGTGATCCCTGGTCACATCTGTGGCCGGGCCAAGGGCCTGGATGATGTATCGGCGTCCTCAGAGAAGGGGGGCTCCGGGCTGGAGGCCAGCTCCTGGACTCTCGGTCCTTCGGGGACTGGGAAGCACCGTGGGAGGGTCTCGCCTCAAGAAACCCAGCCATGAGGACCAAACAGCATTTAAAATCCCAGGGGCTGGAACAGGCTCTGTAGCGGAGGGAACAATTTCCGGGGTCTTCGGGAAGCCTCCTGCAGCGCGCTGCGGTCCCCACGGGGAGGGCTCCCCTGCGGCGGTGTCCAGCAGCAGAACCGCCAGTGAGGTGCAGGCCGCGCCGGGGCGAGGTGACACGACAGGAGGACACGTGGGAAATCTGACACATTCCAGAAAGACGCGTTCTTCCCCTCGGCCACGCTCACTTTGATGACTTTTCAAAAAGCTTATTGATTTTGAGAGAGAGCACGGGATCGGGGGGGGGGGGAGAGAGAGAGAGAGAGAGAGAGTCCCAAGCAGGACTAACCCCTAACCCTAACTCCACCCCGGGCTGGAACCTGTGAGATCACGACCTGAGCCGAAAGCAAGAGTCCCTCGCATTCCTTTGATGGCCTTTTGATGCAAAACTTAAATACGCTGGGGGGAAACCGCTGTCGCCTTGCGGGTGTAAGCGGTACCTGCGCCGGGTCCGTGGCCCTGGCAGCGCGCACGCGTAGCGCGGGATCCGCTCCCCCGCGCGCCAGGGCGTCGGTGTCGCTTAGCAACGGGGCCGCCAGGCCTAGGCCGCGCTCCAGCTGCCAGCGGGGACACGCCTCCTTCCAGCGGTCCCGGAAGTGGCGTAAGCGGTAGGCCCCGCCTCAGGAGAGGCGGAAGTGGAGCGGCCTCTAGCCCCCAGTCCCCAGCCCCCGCCTGCAGCCTCGGCCCGGCAGTGCGTCTGGGCCCATGGCCGCCTACCCGTACCGCCCGGGCCCCGGGGCCGGCCCTGCTGGAGGCGCGGCGCTGCCAGACCAGAGCTTCCTGTGGAACGTTTTCCAGAGGTGAGGCCCGGCGCCACCCAGGCACTCACGAGGCTCCACCGGTCTCCCCTGCGTTCTCCTCGGCCACCCACCTCCCGGCCTCCTTCCTGGCTCCCCCCCCCCCCCGCCGTTTCCTGGGTCCTTCCGGCCCCCCCCCCCCCCCCCCCGGCTCTTCCTGGCTCCTTCCGGCCTCCCACTCCCCAACCCC